TAGATGAGCTGTCACCACCAGATGGATCAGACCCTATCCAAGCGGGAGGCACCAAGGTCGAGGTCATTCTGACCCGCTGGAGCTCTTGGAGTATCTTCTGCCCTAGGGGAATGGTGCAGTGGGAGGTCTGGGTGTGAGCCAGCCTGGGGCAATCTGGGAGCAGGTGGAGGCCTGGGAGAGCAGCAGCTAACTGCCTGTGAGCCCTTCTTCAACATGCTGGGAAGCCTGTCCTTCCTCCAGCATGGTGGGCTTGACTCTCCCTACACCCCTGCTTGCTTCTCATCCTATCCTGGGATTGCTTCCAAATGCAGTTTGGAAAAGTCCCTATTGTATGCCTGCCAGGGCTGGTTCACAGATCCTCCTATGACCCAGTATCCTGTATGTATGTCTCTCATTCCTTCTTTGAACAAACTTTTAAGTACCTAGTATTTGCCAAACACATGAAGTACAGTCAAAACTGAATTGAGGATGGATGGATGGATGGATGGATGGAAATCACTACCCTCACAAAAAAATTCTACTATAAGGCAATCAGACAGTAAGTAAAACATGATCAATAAATTACTCAGAGGCTGAGTATCCCTTATCCAAAATGCTTGGCCACAGATCTGTTTCTGATTACAAAATTCCTTAGGATTTCAGGACGTTTGAGCATACCTAAGCCACAAATCTGAATGCTATAACTTAAAAGTGGGCAGATTCTGGAGCTCTTTAGAGGTAGGATTCTCAACTTAGTATTCATTTCAACCTGTATTCACCCAGAAGGTTATAGCTTTAGAAAAAGTGAGGTTAGGGAGAGGGTCCCAAGACATAGCAAAGAGGAGGGACAAGTTTTAAGAGAATTGCTGCACTGGCCCCAAATGAAAGGTGTGTGGGGAACAGAGATGTAAAGGGAGACGAGGGAGCTCTGTGAGCATCTGGCAGAGGAGGAGGGCACCTGGCCTGGCAGGTTGGAGGCAAAGGAGGGAGTGTGCAGGGTGACATCTAAGAGGTCATGGGGGATGTGTGGGCTGTGACTAGGCCTTAGTTCATTGAGGAGATGGGCAGGAAGGGACCTCGGGTATTTAAGATTTCTTTAAAATGCTGCAGGGAAGCAAAGGTGGAAGCCGTAGCTGTTGAAGGAACTGGAGCTTCAAAGTGCCTTGCCCCAGGGTTGCACCATTCGTGTGTGTTGGAGCTGAAACTGGCATCTGGATCCAGTGCCAGAGCCCATGTACTTGGCCATATGCCATTCTTGTCAGGCTTCTCTCCCTAGTGGGTGGGCCCCAGGAGAGTATTCGCCCAAGCCCAGGTTCTGAGGAAGAATGGGCTAGGCATGAATATAACCTGTTGTCCTTTCTTCTGCCCCTACATCATTTCCCTAGGGCTCCAAATCAGGGAGGTCCTATCTTCCCTAGGAGACTGTGCCAAACCTCGATGTACATGTGGGCTGTGGGAGGCCCAGAAGCTGAGCCCAGCCCTGGGCATCAAGGGAACTTGGGCATGCCTGGGCCGTAGCTGTGATGGTGGGTTGCTAAGCGACTCCAATTGGGAGCCCTGGTTACAGCTGCCTGGCAGAGGCATCTCCCTCCTCTACCTCCCTCACCTCCTTCATGGCCTCTGGCCTCCCAGGAGGCCTCGTGGGCAAGCCAGAGTTGTCATCAGTGCTTGCCACTGGATCTTAACTGGGAGCTCTGATTGGCATCAGGTGTCTAGGCCCTAAGAAGATATGTTAGGATGCAGGCTGTGGGCTTCCCTCAGGGTCACAGTCCTTGTGCACATCTAGATCAGAGCCCAGCTTATCAGTCAGAGGCCTGAGTCTACCCTGCCCCAACCCCAAGCTCCAGGCCACCTCTCTGGGTAACCCTCAGCAAGGCCTGGCACCATTCTGAGCTCAGCTGCCCCATCCATCTGGCTTGCAAACCCTTTCACAGGGCCTCATTCATGAGGAGTGAAGGTGATGAGTGGGCAGGGCTTCCCTGTGCTGAGGGCTTGAGTGTCTAATGATTCAGATTTACATCAGATTTCATTTATGAAAAAAGAATCCACTTTAAGGGGGAAAAGTTGCAGACTTTTAGATCATACCATCTCAAGAATTGCTCAGTGTCAAACTGAAAAACTCCACAAAGCTCAACTGGCCCAGGTCATCAGTGTGTATAAAGAGACATCCCTGGAGAACAGGAAGGACTTCCCCTAGACCAGACTTTGTGGAGTGGTTAAGAGGGGTACCAGGCTGGGCGTCAGGAGACTTGTTGGGTGGCATATCCCATGACACTAGGTCCTGGGATGCCTTGGATAAGTTCTTTTTCCCCCATTGGCTGTGAGAGCCATGGCATGAGGCTGGGGCATGAACTCCCAGCCTCCTGTCTGAGTCCAGGGTGGGAGCAAGGGGAAAAAGCTGCAAGCTTTCATCGGCCTCTATGTGGTTGTGAAGAATGGGAGTGTGTTTGAAGTACATGGAAAGTTCTAAAAAGGAAGCATAGAACTTGTAGCAGTCTTGACCTTGCAGCCCACACCCAGCCATCCACATGGACAGCTCCTGGGCATGGTCTGCATGGTAGGTTTGAGGAACATGTGAGTACTGAGTCTTTGCAAATTCTCTGACCTTCCCTGGCCTATAGCAGAATAGAACATCCTCTACAAAGACTAACCTGAAATCATATTTTGCTCTTTGCTAAACAAGCTGCGTGACCTTGGCAACTCACAGTCTCTGAGCCACACCCTCCTCCAGTTTGGAACTAAGGATGCCAATCCCGACCCTGTAAGGTTTGGCATGATGATTACAGGAGATAAGTACTTAGGGATCCCAGGGCCAAATGGACTGGTACTATCTAGGTGCAATTACCTGGCAATGTCCTTCCTCCCCCCTCACCTCCACAGCACTCTGAGCCAGGCTGGCACATAATGACATAAAGCAGTGTTGCCTGATGGCCTTCCATTCCAGTAGGACTGGGAAGGTGGGAGGTGGAGCTTCTGGCAAGGTCTATAGTCCTAGGGGAAGAGAGATGTGGCCTCCTAGGAACTGAACACAGGTGTGGGGGAGGGGCAGGGAGCCAGGTGCATGGGCGGGCCAGGGAAGGGAGTATCTACCTGAGGGAACATTACTCCCTGGGGGTCCAGCTCCCCTCCTCACAGAGCCCCAGGAGAAGCCAGCCAGGACAAGGCTGCCAAGCTCCAGCTGTTGCCTCCCAAGTCCATAAAGTGCCAGAGACAGCCAGCTTGGTGGAGCTGGAATGATGGAGAGAATAATGGGCAGGAGAAAAGATCTCTGCAGACTGATGGGGATAGGGGGGAGAATCCTGGCAGATTAGTGGTTAGGGTGTGCCTAGGCAGGTTAGCAAATTAAAAGCAGGTCCAGTGGCCTGGGCAGAGCTAGAGTGGTGCCTGGCATCACTGCCTAGCTGTGGGGCTGTGGGCAAATTACATCATGCCTCTGGGCCTCTGTCATGGGGTGGATGAAACAGGGTAATTCTGGCCTCCCCAGGTGGTTGATGCCCAATACAACTGCACTTAAGACTTGGTGTTCAGGAGATGGTGACCAAGCAGGTCTGTTGAGTCTAGGAGTAAGTTCTGGCCAGACAGAGGCTTAGTAGCACCTGGAGTGTTCACAAACACCGAACCACACCCATTAGCTCATGTGATGATCTAACAGCCTTAGGAGATGGTGAGGACTACAGTGTGCATTTCAGAGTAGCTCAGAGACTGATACATAGCCATCATCACACAGCCAGGTGACTAAATAGCCAGGAATCCTGCTCAGTCCTCAGCCAGGCCCATGCTGTCTACGCAACAGTGTCTGGTCAAGAAGGTCAAAGCTACCAGAGAGGGAACCCAGCAGAAATTTTACACCAGGTTTTTGTAGAAGTCAGGCTGGTGGAGCTGCGAGCTCACCATGCCTTCCTCTGATCTCTGGACAGGTTTGTCCATTGCAGGTAATGACCTAAAGGGCACTCCCAATTGGCACAGTAGAAATTCAGATGAGGATACAGGCAGGGTGACAGAGGTAAAGGCCAGGAGGTAGTAAGGGAGAGCAGACAGGTCTATGAAGCCTTACTTAAGCAAGCTTCTTGGCTTGTTTGAAGCTGTCCCCCTGACTGTAAGTGGGGAATGTGTGGGAAATGGTATAAAGGTCTCATAAGGAAGGGGCTTGGAGAGCACAGCTGGGGCAGGTGGCTCAGAGGGACAGCAGTCTCTGAACCTGAACAGCTCTGAGGTCTCCTTGGCCAATCCTGGACCTCTGGAGTTTACAGGCGCTTGGAGACATTGAGGGTCAATCTCCTAAAAGTCTCAGGCTTATAGGCTAATACCTGTCCTGAGGCCCCCTCAGCCTGTTCCGCTTTCTCTGGCCAGGCCTTCCCACAAATGGTTAACAGTCCTCTCTACCTGCAGTTGCATTTTAAAGACACGAAATTAAAGCAGGTAATTTATTCTCCCCACACACGAAAGAGCAATTAGTTCTAAACAGGGCTTAATCAGTCACCGCGAGATTGATTTCTGGAGCCCTGGGTTTTCGGGCTCCTGGCTCCATGCCAGGCTGGGGAGGGAGGGGGCGGACAAATGAGCCGCGGCAGTGGCATGAGCCCTTACATAATCTGCTGGGGGGGGGCTCACAGTCTAGCCAGCCCCTCCAGAGGTTTGGCTGAGTTTGGGAGATGGGGTCCTGCTCCCTTGCTGAGGGATGGCACAGGTTCAGCATAGAGCTCAAAGTGGGCCATATCCCTTAAGCCCCAGCCCCAGCCAATGGCAGTGACTACACCGGAGGTGGGACAGGACAGGGCGAGGGCATGTTTGGGGTAGATGTAAAGGATAGATATTCTGGGTTTATCCAACGTGATACTTACACCTGCACTCTCTTCTTCTACCCCTTCTTTATCCCCATGCTCCTTCTGTTTCCTCCCATCCTCCTCTGACCTCCCCCCCCCTTATTTTTTGTTCTCATCTTCCCATCACTTTTCCTTTGATCCCTTTGCCTTCCTTGCTTTCCTCTTCCTGCCACCCATGCCCCCTGTCTCCGGCCACAGAACTCCATCCGGCACAACCTGTCGCTGCACACCCGGTTCATCCGCGTGCAGAACGAGGGCACTGGCAAAAGTTCGTGGTGGATGCTGAACCCTGAGGGAGGAAAGACTGGCAAGACCCCGCGGCGCCGGGCCGTGTCCATGGACAACGGGGCCAAATTCCTGCGCATCAAGGGCAAAGCGAGCAAGAAGAAGCAACTGCACCTGCCAGAGCGGAGCCCGGACGACAGCCCTCCGGGTGCACCGGCTGCAGGGCCCCTATCGGCCTCCGCCAAGTGGGCCGCCAGCCCGGCCTCACATGCCAGCGACGACTATGAGGCGTGGGCCGACTTCCGCGGCAGCGGGAGACCCTTGCTCGGGGAGGCAGCCGAGCTGGAGGACGACGAGGCCCTGGAGGCCCTTGCACCGTCCTCGCCTCTCATGTACCCGAGTCCCGCAAGCGCGCTTTCGCCCGCCCTGGGGGCGC